CACCCCCATCATCTCAAATGCTACGCCAAACTGGAATGATTCCTGAGTTCAGAGCCAAGAGTAACCCTTGAGCATCCATTGTAAAGATGTGGCCCCAAACCTGATAACTTATACTTAACCCAGGATTATTTGATTTGCTATCAATGTGCTCTCAAACAAAAAATGTTAGCAGTCTTTCTACTGCATTCCAGGATGGGCTCAACCTCCCAATGTAAATCCAACATCACTAGTAACTGATATTAAAAATAGTAATAATAAAATATAAACAAAGTACTGAATATGAGCAGCTACTGACTCCAGAAATCTCTGTATACCAACAATATAGAGCACTTAAAAAAAAAACAAAACTTTGGAGGTGTGCTTTTTATGTAAATATATGCCTGGAAGTCTGTTATTAATGTTCATAATCTCCATCTAAAAATTATTTTTAACAGAAAATGTTCACAATATTTTTTTTCTTATTGGGTCACACCCAGCCAATGCTCAAGGGTTACTCCTGGCTCTGCACTCAGGAATCACTCCTGGCAGTGCTTGGGGGACCCTATTGGATGCTGGGAATCGAACTCGGGTCGGCCGCGTGCAAAGCAAATGCCTTACCAGCTGTCTTATTGCTCCAGCCCTTCTTTTCTCTAATTTTTTTTGGGGGGTCACACCTGGTGATGCTCAGGGATTACTCCTGGCTCTGCACTCAGGAATTACTCCTGGCAGTGCTGGGGGACCATATGGGATGCTGGGAATCAAACCCCGGTCGGCCACGTGCAAGGCAAATGCCCTACCTGCTGTGCTATCACTCCAGCCCCAATGTTCACAATGTTAACCCAGAAGCACATTAGTCTTCATCAATGATATCTGTGAGTCCACAATTTTATGAGCATGGTACTGAAAAGGCTTTTCAACAGCTCTTGAAATGAGAACTGAGGCCCAACCCTATGCTGTCAGTAGCAGAGATGTGTAAATGGATCTGATCAGCAGATGGTCCAGAGCTAGGCAAACTGTAAGTGTCCAATAGCTTTTGCAGAGCCTACTGACAGGATAGGGGGAGGGAAAGACTAGAAAATAATTTTAAGGTTTTAAGTGAGGATCTGGAAGAGTGGAGTTTTTGCCCATCATAGAGAGGTCGAAAGATATTTTTATGCAAATATAATACCCACCTGGAGCCACAAACATACACACTAGTTGAGGTGTTCAAAGCTATCACCTCCAAAAAACTTGAAGCTGACGCTAGAGACTGGGAAAGACTGAAGAACCAAGACTCAGAAATCAAAGATTCCCAAACTTATTTCTGCACCCCCCCATCCCCCCACCCCCCACTGCAGGAAACAAAAAAGCTCAGTGCCCATCTCCCTGGAAATCCACCTTTCCTAAGTTAACAAATAGAATGAGCCTCCCATCCCAATGGCAATGAGACTTCCACTGTCCTCCTGGATGGGTAAAATGCTTCCCCAATGGGGGAAAAGGTTATCACTCATTCTGGAAAACATCGATAAGGAGGTCAACCAGGATAAAAGGTTCCCGAGCAGCTAAACAACAGCCCCCAGGACAATCTGAAAAGCAGTACAATAGGAGAGTCAGAAGAATTTAGCATCATGAAATCAAGAAATCACCTTTCATATGGAGTACCCAGCACTAGTCTTCTAAATTCCTGAGGATACAACCGATACCTTCATCTCTTTCCTGCTCTTATCACTGCATATACTCAGCAATAATAATGACACATCCTGACATGGTGCCAGACAGGCACTGATTAATTGCTTTCAACAAAACTCATAATAGAAGATACTGCTATTATACCCATTTTGCATATAAGGAAACTAAAGCACAAAACATTTACAGAATTTGCCCTTACAAACCCATGAGTATCTGCCCTGAAAAGAGACCACTGCTCAGAGCAAGTTTAATGTGGTGCTAAGGGAAAAACTCAAACTGTCAAACTGCGGAATGTAAAGTACACCAGTTACCCTTAGTTCTTTCCTGTGCTCATCCCTTAGAGAAAACCTGAAGCTCCAGTCAAAGAAACTATAAGCTGTGAGCACATCTGAGACTCCTCCTTATCCAACTTCTCCATTCTACCTTTCTCTCCTCACCCTCAGATATAACTGGTCAGTAATTTGTTGAGAACTAGGCTCAAAAAGAAAGTGAGTCTGGTGCTGAGACCACAGAAAACAAAGGCTTCATGCAAACTGAAATTTTTTGGTTTTTTTGTGGTTTTTTTTTTTTTGCTTTTTTTGGGTCATACCATGACATCTTATCATCTCATCCCTACTTTGGACAAACTCGCAGGCTACCAAATGTAACCTGCCTACACGGCAGAGTCTGGCAAACTCCCGGTAGTATACCCAATATGCCAAATACCAGTAACAATGCTCGAGCGGGCCCAGTAACGTCTCCATTGGAGACTTTGTTGTTACTGTGTTTGGCATATCGAATACTCTCGGTAGCTTGCCGGGCTCTCCGAGAGGGGCGGAGGAATAGAACTCGGGTCGGCCATGTTGGCCGCTAGTAAGGCGAACGCCCTACCTGCTGTGCTATCGCTCCAGCCCCAGTAACAATGATGGGTCTCATTCTCCTAACCCTGAAAGAGCCTTGAATATGGCACTTTTAAAAAAAAAAATCTCAGGGCTAGGACAAAGGAGACATTACTGGGGCCTGCTCGAGGCAATCGATGAACAACAGGATGGTCGGGTCATACCCAGTGATGCTCAGGGGTTATTCCTGGCTCTGCACTCAGGAATCACTCCTAGCAGTGCTCAGGGGACCATATAGGATGCTGCGAATCGAACCCGGGTTGGCCCCGTGCAAGGCAAACGCCCTAACCGCTCTGCTGTTGCTTCAGCCACCAAACTGAAGTTTTGAGAAAGCAAAATTCAAGACTTTTAAAGAAGACCAACTTCTATGATGTGAAGGACATAAAAACACAAAGTAGCAAAGCATCAAGTAGCAGAAACAGACAAATGTGAGTTCCCAGAGAAAAACTAGAAGAGTAACTGTAACTGCCTGACCATTTTCTGGTTCCCAAGACTGCTGGTTCAACAGAGCAGGTCGAAGGCAAGGCAAGGGCCCTACCAGCTGTACTATTTCTCTATACCCATAATCGAAACATTTCAAATGTCCTCACGGGCAGAATAAAAGACATCAGGCAGAATAAAAGACATCAGCAACTGTTCAGCCTGTTTTTAAACCGATATAGTATTTTTTCATTATCAGTTTATAGGTCTTAATCTCAAGCTAAACGATCTTTTCCTGACTTCTCCCTGCACCTTGTTTCAAGTAGTTGATTATGTTACTAAAATGCAGGTCACTAATAGAAAAAAAAACAAATTAAGCACAGTTAAATAATAACCCTACCCAAATACATTCAATGACTTCCCAAAAGCAAGCCAAAATGACAAATATCTACTACAATCCTAAAAGCTTAACACCCTTGCCAGTTATGAAAAGCAGCAAAAAATTCAAATTACTTTGGCAAGATGGACTGGGGCAGAACTTTTCTAGACTAATGTCCTTTAAAAAAGAGGTATTTCTTAAGTTTTCACATTGTGTTCAAGTATGGGCAGAATCCTCCTGCATGTTTATAATTGGAAACTTCTCTTTAAAGGGCCTTTAATGTATCATCTGACTTGGGTTGATTTCCTTTGACACATAATGAACTTAGATGCTTAATGAGTGAAGGAATAATTTATCCTTGGAGAAGCCAGATCACTTGCTTGCTTCGGTTCAGGGTTTCTGGCAACTTCCACATCCTCAACAATACTTGGAGTACATATACTGCTAGGTGCCTGACAAGACTGCAGCTCAATGGTACATCCTAGTCAGTAGTTACCAGTGCAGCTTTGGAACCCACTTCTTAGCTGACTCACTGACAGATATTTCACCACTTATCAATTGGTGTTATTCACATTTAGAGTGAAACTAATTTATCAGTCTTTCGTTAGTTCTGCCAGGAGCAATATGAAAATATGAATGTGGGTTCTATCTGAAAATAAATCTAGGTTTTAAAAGATTCATCAAATTGCACTATTTTAACTGACACTAACCATGCTAGGAACTGTACTGTCATTTCCTCTAAATCATAAACAAGACACTAAACCCGTCTTTGTATCTGTATCCTGTCTTTTCTGTGTTCAGAGATCTAAATCATGAGCCGATAAAAATAATCCTAGTGAGGTGCAAAGCCGCTAATGAAAACTGACATGTTTTGCAAGTAACTGAGTAATTACAAATCCGAAACGAGAACCACAATTTTTAACACTGGTTTGCAGCAGGGCCCTCAGATACGTATCTCAGCAGCAGAAAAAGGAAAGCGGAGGAAAAAGGACTGCCACCAAGTCCCTGCACTGTGGAGGTTTCAAGTCAACCTTTGAGCCAACCTCTCTTTTAACATTCTTGGCCACAGTAAGGTGCTCCATTTGAAACACTGGATGGTCAGCATTTCAGTCATTAAAATCCGGGGAGGGTTTGACAGCCAACCCAAGAGGATACTAGAGGTCTTGCGTTTCAGTCACAAGATTTGCACTGCGCCTCGAGTCCAGGGTTCAGTGGTTCTGACAGTTAAGGATGCTGTTCGGGGCCGAGGTACAACATCCGCCTCCTGCTTAGGCTCCCGTGTGCGCAGCGGCCACAGAAAACTGCACCCACACCACCACCGCGCACCTCGGGGACCTGGCCCTGAAGACGCCGGGACTGGAAACCCAGCATGTCATCGCAGGGCTGCAGCTCCACCGCCACACTCAGACGCCAGGAAAACACAGCTCGAGCCCGAGACCTCCCTTCCCAGGTCCCAGATACCCTGCCTGGCCTTCCTCCCTCTGCCCTGCTCCTCCCACCGCCCAGCCAACAGATCAGCTCCGGGGCGATCCCCAAGTCCGAGCGGGGACTGCTGGAAGGCGGAGGGGCTGGGGCGCTAGGGCCGACCTCCTCCATCCATCCCGGCCCCCCACATCCCGCCGCCGCCTCCGCCGAACGCTCCGCTAACGCCGTGGACCCAGTCGCACCCGGCTCACCTAGGGGCCGCAAGCTCCGCAGCTCTCAGGCATGTCAGCAGCCCGCAACGACCAGTCGCGCGAGCCGCCGAGCAGCCGGGCGCCCCCTCCCGCACCGGCCCCCAGCCCTCCCCCCCTCCCTGCCCCGCGGCCCGCCCCCTCCCTGCCCACCCCCGGCTTCCGCCGCCGCAGCTCCAGCCTGCAGCACCACCTAGTCCGCCCCCCTCAACGCCTCCCACTCACTCTCGCGAGACGAGTGCTTCTCGCGAGAACTCCGTGACGAAGCCCGCGCGAAAGCGGGTGGGCTAGAGGTTTTGGGGAGGGGGGATGTAGGAGGGGCGGGAGTTAAAAAATAAATAAATAAATAAATAAATAAAAAGGTAGAAGGAACAGGAAAAACCTTCCCACGTGCTCCGGGGTCGCGAGCGGAGCGGCGGCGAGCGTCACGTGACGTCGAGGCGGTCTCCTCATTGGCCAGGGTCGGCGGAGCCGTGGGAGCTTTAAACTGCTGCTGACCTACGAACCCGCGGCGGACGTCTTGCGCGCTTCCTGGCCCGTTGCCTTGGAAACCGTTTAACCCTTTCCTCGGGCAAAAAACAACAGCCCCCCCCCCAAAAAAAAAGATACCTGCGCTTGGGTTTCGCTGGGCCGCTCTTTGGGTTTCAAGCGCTGGTCTTCTCTTCTTCGATCCCCGTGGCTTTCCCGCTTCTGATCAGAAGAAACGTTTGTTTTTTTTTTGTGTTTGTTTTTCCCACAGCCTAGCCTGACCTTCTCATTCCCCCACCTCCCCTACCCCGGGCCCTTGACGAAAGCGGCCGCCCTACCGGGTCTGACGGCCCCAGCCGGCCCACCGTTTCGGGGGTGGTGGCTCCGCCCCGTCGGGAGCATCACCGCGCGCCCGGGCCGAACGTCCTCACCCCTGCCTCAGCGCTGCGCTCCGGAGGAGGTGGGGGCCCGGGCCCTAGTGCTCACCCTGCCTAGTGCTCACCCGACGTCTCTCGGGAAGGAGAAGCCTCGACGACCGCGCCAGCCCGCCCCTCTCCCCTTATCCCCCCTTCCCGGTCGCCAGCCGCTGGAACAGGTTTTGCAAATCCGGACTCGGAACGGCCGCTTGCAGACACTCGTGGCCTCGAGGACAGCTATTTCAAGAGTGCAAACACGTGACGTGAGAAAGGCGTTTCTAGGTGTTCGCACCTGATGAGTTTGGGCCGGTGAGAGGGTCTTAAAAAAAAAAAAGCAACAAAACGGACCCTTCAATACTGTGCATTTCTCGCATCCAACCACTTTTCGTTGAGCTCCTACATCCGATGAGCCATCTCTCTGGACTCGTAAGTGTCCAGATAAGTGATATCTGGACAAGTGATAAGGACAAGTCTGGGGTCTTAGGGAGCTTGTTCTTAGGGAGTAGGGGTCGGAGAAAGGATGTCTCAGGGCATTGAGTTACGTGCAGATACAGGACGTGAAGTGAGGATAATTGCTTCGGGTGGCCACTGGGGGAAGGGGACACCAACAGTCATGGCATGGAGGTTGTCAGAGCGGAGACCTGTCCAGGCAAAGGGCAGGGCAGATTCAGAGGTTCTAAATTGGACTTGAGAGGGCAACAGAGTTAACAAGTGTTGGGGAAGAAGCAAACATCGCCCATTGTAAAGCAAGACAGTAATTGTTTTGTTTGTTTGTTTGCTTGCTTGCTTGCTTTTTGGGTCACACTCCACGATGCACAGGAGTTACTCCTGGCTTTGCACTCAGGAATTAGTCCTGACAGTGCTCGGGGGACCATATGGAATGCAGGAAATCGAACCCGGGTGGGCAGCGTGCAAGGCAAACGCCCTACCCACTATCGCTTCAGCCCGGAGACAGTAACTGTTTTAAGTGCAATCGACTGGTGCATTTTACTGGTGACCAAATCAAGGTACCTTATGGGCCGCGACTCTTGGCTCCCTCCTTCAAGAAAGGAACAAGGCAGTAAAACTAACCCACTCACAGAGTTGCTATACTTGAACTGCCTTTTAACCGACAGAGGTGGGAAGGAAAATGAAATTAATTTTTATAAAAGACAATAGAGCGAGCAGCATCAGCCAAATGAATGTGCACAATGGAGGGGAGATACCTATGATTTACTTTTTTTTTTTTTTAAACTACCCTGCAAAGAATGGATCTTAAGGAGGCTGCAGACGGAGCAGGGAGATTAGGTGTCATGGAGTTATCCTGGATTGCCACGGCTCCACCACTACAGTCCTCCGCTCTACCAACTGAGCTATCGAAGGCTGGAGCGATAGCACAGCGGGTAGGGCATTCGCCTTACAAGCGGCCAACATGGCCGACCCGAGTTCGATTCCTCCGCCCCTCTCGGAGAGCCCGGCAAGCTACCGAGAGTATTCGATATGCCAGACACAGTAACAACAAAGTCTCCAATGGAGACGTTACTGGGCCCGCTCGAGCAAATACTGGAGTTATCCTGAAACAATAGCCAATGACCTTGATATTCCTCTTTCAAAATCTACTGGGTCAAAACCTTGGAACTCTGTGCCTGTTTTATTTCTTTTATATGGCTGTAGCTACATTTATTGATTTTTAGTTACAATTAGAAATATGTAGGAGGGTTTTGTTATGGTTGTTACTGGGGAAAACAAATGCCTCCACAAAAAAAAAAGTTGTTTACAATAAAAGAGTAGTCATAAGAAAAGAAGAAATATAAAGTGCTATTGGGTGCAGATACTTATTCTTATGTAAAAGTTGTGAAAAGATCGGGTTTGAGGGCTGGGAAATGAAGAGGATCTTTCCACGGAAAACAAATCAGGAAATTTGAGTTCCACCTAGAAGACTTCTGATTAACTGGCCATGCAACCAAATCTAGGTACTTATCACCTTAAGACTCAGCTTCCTTATACATAAAACAAAGCAATTTGACTACCTGCAAAATTGTTAAGCCTAAATCATACCTGGGCATACATACAGCAGTGAACTTGAAGCTGGAATGGTAAGAGGGTAAATTTTTATTGAAATCCAACAAATTTGGCACAGGTCAAATGAAACTGGACACACACTCAGAGCTAAGAAGAATCAATGACAATAATACAAACACCAGGAAACCTCTCTAAGAAATCTTGGCATTCCCAGAATAAAAACAGAAGCACTGCCACCTACTCAATTTCAAATTATCATGCTCCTTTTCTCTGTAGCTATTTTAAATCTATGTAGTGTTAATGATTCACATGTTCCTAATGAAAATTTTAAGAAATAGACCTTTAAAGGTCTATGGCACTAAGACCCTTCTTGTAAGTGTTGAAAGATTTGAGTAGTGTTTTTGAGTTCCTGAGTGCCATTTGCAGTACTCAATGATGAAGTGAACAGCTGCTTAGTCCTGCTAATTTTGATGTACGGGCTCAACTCCAGTACTCTAGAATCATAAATTCTTTACCCAAACAAGTGGCCCTTGCTGGCTACATTATATTGAGTTATACAACTGAGGATTGAGATCTATTTCTACAAATAGTCCCAGTTCCTGGCTTCTTTTAAATTATTTTCATTTTAATACCTTTTAAAATTACCCAATGTTCACCCATTTAAAGCATATAATGCCATGGGTGTTTTTTAAATACCATAACCATAATATAATTTTAGAACAATTTTATTTGCCCCAACAGAAAGCCCATATTTATTAGCAGTTTAATTCTCTGTCTCAGATCCAGTCCCAAGAATCCCCAATCTACTTCATGTTTTTATGAATTTGATTATTCTTGTCATTTAATAATCACTTAATCACTTAACTTCCCGTTAGTCGTCGATTTGCTCGAGCGGGCGCCAGTAACGTCTCCATTTGTCCCTGTCGCGTGCTAGTGTAGCCCAATGGCATCTCTTCGCTCCGGGAACATGGAGGGCCTCAAACCGATCGTTCATGATCTTGACAAAGAAGTCTGACCATCTGGTAGGTGGGCGGCCACGCGGTCTCTTGACATCCCGTGGAATCCAATCAGTAACAGCTCTAGTCCAACGGTCGTCTTTAAATCTCATATTAAATATTAAATCTCATATTAAATCTTATATTAAATGACTTTATATTAAAGTCATTTAATATAAACGGAATTATATAATGTGCAGGTTTTTTTGTATCTTCATTTAACTTAATGTTTTCAAGGGTCATCTAAATTGTAGTTCATATCAGTACTTCCTTTATTTTACTGCCAATTGCTGATCCCAGCAGAGTTTACTTATCAATAGAGACATCTGTATTGTTTCCACTTTATAACCATTGTGAGTAATGATTTGACCTTGTGTACAAGTTTTGTTATATAAGTGGATGTTGCTTACTTTTAAATTTTTTTTAACAATGTATTGGTTTTTCAAAGTCTGTGCTTTTTCTAGCCCAGTTACTTTGTTCCTAGCTGTCTTTTTGCCTGCTTTGAAGTATATAAAGTCATCTCCTGAGAGTTGCCTTTTTCACTATGACAGTTCATATATAGCGATTTCACCTGTTGAAAAGCCTTCTGTGGCTTGGTAAGGAGCAATCCACAATCCAATTTTTTTTCTCTGCTGTAATATCATTTTCATACATTCCTGCCAGTTTCCTCAAAGTGAAGCTCTTTTGCCTCAGAGAACTTTACTCTGTTCGTTCAATATGGAATGTTTTATTCTCTGCCCAATCCCCTTAAGTCTCTGCTTGTCCTTGACTTTCCTATCTAACTCCCATTTCCTCAAGAACTCTTATTCTAACTCTCCAGACTGCGTAAACTCTACTTTTTTTTCCCCTAAAGCATATTTCGACTCAAAATGTTTACTTCCATTAGACTGCACAGAGTCGGTACTCGATAACTTTTGAAAGGAGGGAGGAAAAAAGGAAAGGAAGAAAAAGAAGGGAGGAGAGGGAAGAAAAGAGGAAGGGGAGGTAACAGTAAAGGAATGGGGAGGAGAATGGAAATTGAACACTTATTCTTGATTCTCCTCTTCTTTACTGGAAAAATATCTACAAACGTTACAAGTCCCGTATATATTGTGGTAAGAGGAATTAATGGAAGAGTTCATGCTCTATGTGGAACAAGTATTCCCTGTTTATGCCTCCCATAGAAGAGTGGTATAGAGAGAAGACCACTGGTATATTAAGGAAGCAAAGCAGCAGTGTGACAGTTCAGAAAACACAAACTGTATCCAAGTCTTACCTAAACCTCACACGTCCCCAA